CTGGGCTGGCAATCCTGTTCTTTATTTCCCAGTTCTGCCTGTCCAGGTGGCCACACTTCCTTCTCTCACAGGCAGAGTGTCTCAAAGCACTAAATTCACTTTATTACCTTCTCCCAGGATGCTCACTGAATATGGTCATCAAAACACCTAAGCGCTTTCAACTTGAAGCTGCAGGACTTTCAGACCCTTCTGGGTGAAAAAAATACTGGTCATCAACATGCAAGTTCTTGTTCAGTGTGAATTCTGCCACCAACTTAATCCATCTTAGGAAAAAAAATCCAGTCAAACCTCCACCATACATCCTCTTAGTTTCTAGCTTAGCTTCCTTCCCTCATGTCTTGTTATGCAACAGACTTTGAGAGCAGCTGCCACCATGCTTTCAAAGCAAACAGCATTTTAGTTGGCAGAATAGCAGCTGGGAGACATAGAAGTGAAGCAGGCAGGAACATGGCATGACATGATATGGTAAAGTCACCCAGGAGCATCCCAAGTCTACTTCTCAGACTTGGAAACTGGAAACAATGTGCAGAGGCAAAATTCATGGGCTGGTGAAGGATAAGGAAGGGAGAAAGGAAAAAACACAAGTATGCATTCACTACTTCAGAGGCAGCTGAAGCAGCTGCCTGACCTTGGGCTGGGTGGTCAGTGTGGCAAGGCAACAGGAAAACACTCAAAACATCCAAGGCAAAAAGGAAGTCATTCTCACAGTGTGATCAGAAGTGATTTTTTTTTTTCAAATTCTGTTTTTTATAGGAACCAAGCTCTGTGTATTGGTGGTTTGAAGACCCTCTCTACATCCCTGTGGTTATGTTACCTCTCACAGACACTTTACCTTCCTGTCCCTTATGTCAGCACAATTCAGAGGAATGACATCCTTGAGCATGCCAGGGATAAAATAACACAAAGAGAAGAGACATCTGTAGGAATTAAACAATGCACTGTGACTTGAAAAGCAAGGCAAATGTTTTGACAGGTTCTAAGGACCAGGCTGTCAGCCAAAAAAGCAACCTTTTATAGATTTTACAGTGACCTTGAGGTTTCCCTGAGGAAACATGCTGTTCTGCACATGTTTACATTTTGTGAAGTTAAGGGTGGGCAATCTACTCTTTCTAAGGCCACTTAACTGTGCTACCATACCTCAGCCCCAGCATGAACCACCTCAGCCCACAGTTTGGTTTCTGCCCTGCTCTGTCAGCACAACCCACCCTGCAACTGGTGGCTTAAGGAGCACTTGAGCCAGCTGTGCCGGGAGCTCCTTGGCAGGCAAACAGCCTTTCTGCTCTTACGCATAGCAAACGTTGCTCTTCTTCCTGGGGAAACCACAGCTTGCCCTGCACTGTGCTCAGGGCAGCAGCACTGCTGGCTCGCTGCCTTCTGATCTGAGTGTGTCAGATTCTTAGAATTATAGAAGAGTTTGGATTGGAAGGGAGCTTTGAAGGCCATCCAGTCCAACCTCCCCCTGCAATGAGCAGGAACATCTTCCTCTAGACCGAGTTGCTCAGACCCCATCCAGCCTCACCTTGAATATTTCCAGGGATAAGGCATCCACCATCTCTCTTGGCAACCTGCTCCGCTGTTTTACCATTCTCATTGTAAAATACTTCTTCCTTATACATAATCTAAATTGACTCTCTTTTAGTTTAAAATTGTAATGCCTTTTTCTATACCAACAAATTCCCAGGAGAAGGAACTACAAAATCCCATTGCTCAGGGTGAGTGAGGTATTGCAGCCATAAGATTAGCACCTTTGGCCAGCACCCAGGAGGAAGTTCTTTAGGAGCCATCGCTAGCAACCATTTGTATCCTTGAGAAAATAAAAATTTTATGTTGCAATCTCTGGAAAACCTCTGGAAATCACTGTCTATTGTATTTTACCAACAAACATAGCTCCAACAAGCACATCTGGGATACAATCCCATGACATTCAGCACCTCTAGGGATACAGTACCATTGACACATCCTTCTAACTATATTCAAGTTTCTCATTACCACATCTTTTAAGAAGAAAAGTACAAGTTGATGTCACGGCAAACAAAAATTATTGTGGCTTCACAATTGATCTTTAAAGGCCACACGTATTAAAGAATACACTGGATCACTACTGCTTTTCCCAAATTAATTAGTCATACACTTAGAACTCATGAATAATACTTCTCTCATTGATTTATAAAATCTCACAAACACTGTGCTACAAATGAAAGAAATTATGTGGCCTTATGCTCAATTTGCTTTATTTGGCTTCTTTTCATCCAAGGAAATACAGAAAACAAGACAGACAATATATCAGTACAGCATGTAACTTTAGATAAAAAATAATTAAGGAACACACATGACACAGACAATAATTGTAAAAATATAGAATACACTGTTTTAATTGACTGAAGTTATTTTCAAATCTGAACTAAACTGCAGCTGCTGTGGTCAAAAATACTTCTGCAAATTTATCTCAAAAGTTTTGTTCAAAACATTCTTTTAGAAAGAAAGATTGCCCCAAAACACCCTAAAACCCCCATTAACTCCCATTTTCTGTTCAGAAAGGAAGCAAAGTATAAATCAAAACTACTAAAAAGCCTGGTTTGCAAGGATGCATTTTTAGTATCCTAAAAAAGTAGGAAAAAAAAAAGGACCAGTTGGTGTTTTGGTTGGATCAGATTTTTTTTTTTTATTTTAATTAGAAAAAGTGAAAGGTACAAATAAATAATTCATATTGCACAGACAACAGTAGAGCAAAGATCACCCCTCACATCCTCAGTAACACAAGCAGACAGACACACTAAATTTTTTTGCAGACTCTGCACAGGTGACAGCTTTAGAACCAGCAAAATATTTGTTCTGAACACTAAGTTTTAAATCTCTATTGCTGATTTTTCAGCTTGACAGTTGGTACCCTTAGTAAACATATGAGATAAAAAGGCACAATCCAAAATGCTACGCACTCTGGTATGAAGGAGTATTTCAGATGCACAAACAAATGCTCATCAAAGCCAAAAGAAAAAGAGAATACTGTCAGTGATCTTGATACAATGATAAACATTCAGACAAAAGGAAGAACAGAACGAGAAACACCTTAAACTCTAGCACTCATCAGCTGAACAAAAAATCACCAGAGGATCCTCTGCAGTCCTCTCATCTGTCTGTCCTGTCAGTAAAAATGGGCCACTAAGAAGGTACATCCAGAGGTAGGCTTGCATTTAGCAATCTTTGCCCTGTGGAGAAGGTACAGAGCCCTGCAAAGGTGCTCAGATGCTGTCATGGTTTAACCCCAGCAGCAACTGAGCACCACTCAGCTGCTTGCACAGTCCCCCAGGAAGGAAGGGGACAGTCAGAAAGGTAGCCTCATGAAGTGGCTGCCGGAACCTGGGCTAGCTCTTAGAGCTCTGGTGCCACGCCAGGAGTGGGGACCTGCCTCGGTATGGGAATTTACCAGAGGCAGAACCTTTAGAGTCACTTGCTCTAAGGTGCCAGACACAAGCCACGACAGGGACTAGGCAGAGGAGAAAGGAGGAGGCTCTCTGTCTTGAGGTTCCACAAGGAATGGTTTATTCCAGGTGAAGGGAGCAGGACAGAAAGCCTCAGGCTCCATTGTACAAGCAGTTTGGGCCAGATACAAGTCAGGGTACAAACAGCTAACCAATAGGGAACCCCATGGGGAGGAGGGAGGGGATTACATCAAGTGCCTGGGTCCAATAGGGGTAGGAGGGTGAGGGTGGGTCATATGGGCCAACAGGGCATCCAGGAGTAGGGGAACTCCAAAGGGATGCTGCAGATAGGGAATTGGCCCGAGGTTTAAGTGGCAGAGAACGTTTGGGAATCAAGGGTTGGGTTGCCTTGACAGACAGGGAAAGAGCTGGAACAAGGGGCAGGGAATGGCATGAGGGACAGCTTTGAGGGAGGGTAAAACCCAGGGGTAAACCAGCTTGGAGAGAACGTGGGGGTACAACAGAACAAACCACTTAACAAGGAATCAATAAAATAAATTTGAACCACAACAGCCTCATACTAACGTCTATCAAGAAAATTAACTCTGTCCCAACCAAAACAAGCACAGAGGTAGAGGACACCTGGAGCCTTCAACCCCTCACAAAGATGAGGAGCTGCAGGGCAATGCCCAGGAGTGCACGGCACTCCTGAGCAGCCTGCTCAGAGGGGGTCAAGCACCTGGAACTTTAAGCATGGAAATGGCCGGACCAGCAGGCTTGGGCTGGCAGTGATAAGCAACTTGGAACAGCGGGAGAGAAGCTGCAATCCAGCCTGGGACAGGAGCAGAATTAGGTCCCAGCTCCTAAGAATAGTGCAGTGTCTTTGTCTGCTCCCAAAAGCCTGACAAATCAGTAATCTCTGTCTCTGTAAGACTACCAGCTGATATTGCAGCCACAGTGGTGACACAGGACAGCATGACACTACTCAGCGTGTGACATCCCACTCAATGAGGTCCAGCCATGGAATAATGGCTTTTAGCCAGCTAAGCAATTTATCTGTGTTTAAAAAGACACAATAAAAATGGATGAAGACAGGGAAGACTACTCTGAACAGTGCATAAGATGAGCACAAAAACTATTGACAAAATCCATGCCTTTTGACAGCGCAGCAAGGAGTACAATAGGGACAATGTTTCCACTACTGGGCTTTGTAACCATCCTCTCCTCACTTACATATTTAACCCCACCACACACATCTCCAAAAAACTCATAAAACACAGAAGAAAACACTCTAGGATTAGGAAAAAAAGTAAAATAAATTACTTATATATTGTACAAATTATTTACAATTCTTCTTTCCAAATTGTGGCTGCTACTGCCTTTATTTAGTCACCTGCTTGGAAACCTATTGTTCTTCCCCTATAATTTTGCCAAATGCTGCGTAGTTTGAGTCCTGTGATTTTGAGTCCAGCAGATCTTTCCAAACAGAGAAAAAGGAGCTGGAATAACTGGATAAGAGAAGAAAAACCATATGACAGGAAGAGGGTGATGAACTCAAGAGTTGCTGAAAGTGAAATTGCAGACACATGTTGGCAAAAATTAAATCCTCTCTACTCTCTAATGCAAGAGCAATTGGGCACTGGAAGAGAATCCCTAGACAGTCTGCAGAGCTTCTATCCCCGAACATTTTCAGAACTCAGCTGGAAGAAGACAAATACATTTTGCCCAGCAGCAGTATCAAGAGTGGCATGGGCAAAGAAGGTTTTGCCTGACAAAATCTCCTCCTCTGCAGAGTAGTTAACCAAGTAGTCCCTCCAGTCCTACATATTAAGATTAAGGGCCTAGACCAAATAGCAAACGCTGTGTTAGTTGTTTCAGTGATCAACTCAGCTTCCAGATAGGGCAGTATATATGATGTCTTCTTTTTTTGTTGCTTTTTCCAGCCAGTCAAGTCACTATGTGTAATGTTGACTTCAGGCTGCTAGCTTCTAATGATCCAGTAGATGGATGGAAATCCTCAAAGATCCTAGGAAACACAAAAACAGCCCCAGGAAAGGATGAGTTGTGGCCATTGTGTTGCTGTCTCAGGTTTTGCTTGGCAGTGTGGTTGCTGTTGGGACAGGAGGAGGAGAAATGCACAGTGGGGAAAGTGGGGAGCAACAGTTACAAACCCACCATTTGGTGAACAACTTCCCTGCTTTTTTAATTCTGGAAATCACACACTGTGCAGAATTCAGAATGTGACACAACAAATATACAAAACCCTGAAAGGATTTGTAAACTGTGAAAAGTAAACCAACTTTCCTCACTAGTAATAATACACCAGTTATTAATTAACTGGTTTAATTTAATTTTCAAACATATAAAAGATATTCTGAAATATCAAACTATTTATATACTCAATATATAAAGTTATAAATAACTTTATATATTTATATATAAATAGTTTGATATTTCAGAATATCTTTTATATGTTTGAGATTTAGTCTACAACACTATCTTTACATGGCTTTGAAGACAGTAATAAAATATATGGTATCTTTACTTTTCATGTAGAAGAGTATGAAAGACGTTCCATATCTAATAACTCTGCATTCAGACAAAGAATTTTGTAAAGGACTTTGGAATTGAGTTTATAAATAATTCTTACCAAGGAAGTGAATGAAAAATTGAAACAGTGAGGCAACTATTCACATATTACAGGAATGCCGTTTGTTCTCCCTTTCAGTTGCCAGCCATTTTATTTTCTTGTTATATACAAAGCCCTATTGTTGGAATGAAAAGTAGAAGGAAGGACCAGAAAATTACTTCATAATGCAATATGAGCACAAATATGATGCACAGGATAGCAATTGTACTAGTCACATAAGAGCCTTCCTGTTTGCAATGAAAGGGCTTTGTGTTCTAGTGGCATGCCCTCCTTTACATGCACAGGACAAACACCAAGATGTTTCTTACACCACTACCTTCATCCTGTTGGTAGCAAAACAGGATTTATTTAATCCTTCCAGACAAAAACCCCAGCCATGAACCAGGAGAGCAGAACTCACCCATGTGACCTCACCTCCCTTCCTCCTCCTGCCACCCCCGCTTCCTGGCTCTTCTAAAACGAAAGCAGGATAAGGAGCATGCTTTTTCCAGCAAAATGTGACAGGGAAAACAAAAAAACACCTGCCATCCCTGTCCTTCACAAAGAAAACAGATAGCAGTAAAGCATGGAAAGCTTGCAAAGTGTGCCCATCCTCCCTCTATATATGATACAGACCAGAGGGTACTGCCAGGCACATTTCTGTGAACAGAAAATTAGGTGGAATCACTAGGTAGCAAGAGTTGTCTTAAAACAGTGTGTGATTTAGCCCAGAAAACAACTTTACTTGAGTTGCAAAATATTTATGTCTGAAGGAAACCTGATGGGCAGCCTGACAGCAGAATTACCCTTTCACTGACATTTTTGTCATGAGGGTTGTTTGGTTTTTTAATTCCTCCGCTCAGTAGCTCTGTTTAGGTCTGCTTATCTATACTGTTTTTACTCTGTGGCATTTTTGGGTTTTGGGATTTTTGGTTGGTTGGTTGGCTTGGGTTTGGTTTGGTTTTTTTTTTTTGGTTTAGCATTAAGAAGGGTAAAGGAATGCAGCTGTTGTATATTCATAGCATAGTTTTTGCTATTTTTCAGGAATTCAAAATAGGACAAATATAATCTCCTACTTCCATAACAGCCACACTTAAGAGGAAACCAAGGCTACTTTAAAATGAGCCTGCCAGAAACCCATTCCTGTGTGAGCAGAGGAAGTATGTTATATCCATCTGCCTCAGGAAAGAGGGAGTTATAACTCAAGTTTATCATCTGAAAATCTGGTATTTAGTGGGCTTCTCTGGAATTACTATTCTGAAAATTCTTCTAAAACCAAGCTGCTACTATATTGTTCTCAACTACTGAATCTCTCACTAATAAGAAAACCAGATGTCAAAGCAAACACAGGAGAAACCTCTGAAGTTGTAAGATAAAATAAGAATTATTGTAATTTTTAAGCTAGAGCTTCAAACAGCCTTCCCCAAACTGAATACAGACTAGAGAATACTGCTATAATGACTCTTCCAGAATTAATATGTTTACTATAAACAAAGAAATGAAAAACATAACCAAGTACTTGTTCTTATAAATTTTCTCAAAAACTGGGAATTCCTGCATAGTATGTATTTCCCAGCCTTCCAGGACATATTTGACCACCAATATTTGGGTTTCTCATATCCACATATTATAGCTGATCAGCCAAGCTACAATTTTACACTTACCAGACCTGATTATCTGGTATTTGTAGCAACTGTCAAATTCAAAAGGGAATCTTGAATCTTATAGAATTCAATCAGGGAATCTTAAATTCCTATTCAGGGTATTGAGTGATCTCCAGCTTGTAACAAAGAGGTATTTTGAACCTGTTTTGGAGTACTCGTCTAACATATTAAGCACATGGAGATTTAGCATTTCTTTGGAATATAGATAACAGATAACTGGTTTGTTCAGACACAAACAGAATCGTAGAATCACTAAGGTTGGAAAAGACCTCCAAGATCATCAAGTCCAACCTTTGACCAAACACCACCTTGTCAAGTAAACCATGGCACCAAGAGGTAAAGGCAATGCTGCTTACATCTGAGTTCCAAAAAATCTCCACTTGAAGGAGAGCCTGAATATTTTGATTTCCAAACACGAAAACCACATTTCTATGCTGCTGCTTTCTGCAGAATGGAATTTTAATCTGGCATACTCTCTTCTATGACTCTTCAAGTTTTCTTCTATGACTCCTCAAGTTTTCTTCTTCCAGGTTAACCTATTCTGTTCAGCTTTCTTACCTATTCAGTATCGTATCTACTAAATTTCAAGTCCCAATTTTTTTCCCCCCTTGTTATAGTTTTTTTAAACACAAGTATATTATTTGAATATTTCTGAAGCTTTCCACATGGCAAAATCTGCATAAGCTACCCAAGAGAGATCAACATACCAATTCCTAAAACCCAAACCAAATTTAAAAAAAAACCAACAAAAACAACATTCTGGCCTTGAAATGCATTGGTGACGTAGTCCTTCCTCACAGGCTACCACAAGCCTCCAGAAAAAACGTATGTGTGGAATTTTATGCCCTTGCAGACTGATACATCCTGAGAATTAACTATAAAGCTTTTTAATTGTCCAGGCTGAAATATGAGTATCCTGCAAGCCATGAAATAAGCAAGTGATGCTATGGAAAGCATTCAAGTGAAGACACATGACAGGTAAGTCACAGGAATTTATTCAGGCGAATAGCCTTTATTTTGCTTCTACCCAGGCATGTAGCTTCTTAACTGGATTGTTTTATCTCAGTGTTAAGCTCTATTAGCTGAGTAAGGAATGAAAGGATTTAACTTTTTATCAGATGAGCAGTATCAAGAGACTTCAGGCATGGGAGAATTTATGCCTGGTGATTTTTCTGCAGCCTGCTCATTGCACTTACATCAAACGATGGGCACAGCTGGGTTTGCCTGCCTACTTGGTAGAGGATGCGATACAAGTTTTCCAAAGCTTCTATGTCAGCACTTGCTACAAAGACCGCTCAGTTTGATTCCAGATAAGTCACTTATCCACAAATGTTGTGAAGACACTTCACTGGGGACATTTTCAGGGTGAACCAAAATGTATGCATGCTCTGTAACAGATACACAAGGCAAATGCCTGAGGGATGGGACATTGACTTTCAGCCCCAGATACCTGGTTCCCAAGTATCTACCATGAAGAGGAAGGGAACAACAAAAACAAAAGCAAAGCAAAACCTAACCATATTCCCAGATGCAAAAGTACTTTGAAGAAACTTTGTCAGAGAAGGCTCCCCAGCCACCCAGATAAAAAGCTACTGTTTTACTTTAAAAGATTAGTATCTTGACAAGCCTGGAAAGGCTGTGCTTGTTATCTACTGCAGAATGAAAAGAAGTACTGAAGCCCCAGACAGACCCTGGTATTCCTGAGCCAGTGCTATTAGCTCTCTATTGTTAGCTCTCTCTTGTGGTGTTACAAACAGCACTTCCAAAAGTACACGTGTAGGTGCTGCTCCTCATTCCACCCAGTCTGAGGACAACAGAGGGTAAAACCAGAAAAGGGGTTTCTGCAAGTTATTATTTAGGTGAACTAACTACAACCAATGCTTAAAAAAGCATAAACATATTTTACCAATGATCAAGGAAAAAACAAGTCACCACAAAACCAGACTAGGATCTAAAGATAAGAAGTTTAGGGGATTTCCTCATCATAGTACTTGTGGAGTGGTAACACACTGTAAATACAGTGTTAAAAATTACTGTAACTCCACAGATATTCTTAGTATTCTAAGGATGTCCAGGAAAGTCAAAGTGGAATCCTGTACTGTTAGCAGCCCTTAGCCACCAGCAGAAAAGAGCCTCCTGGGAGAGGGGAAAAAAAAAAATCAGATGGTGACAGAGTGATCAAACTGCACTGCCACTGAAGTTTTACAGCAAACTAATTAATAATGCCTTCAAGGAAACAGGTGTAAATTAAGAAGACCTTCTACACATTTCACTTAGATGGTCACATAGGAAGGAATATGTTCAGTTGGTAAAAATTACTCTGGATAAAGTAACATTGCCTTTATTCAAAACTGATCCGGGTCAATGCAATACATTTTTGAAACTAAAGGCCAAAGAGCAACTGAAAAGATATAGACTATGGCTAATAAAAACTGGACTACATTAAAAGAACATTACTGACTTACAACCTCACTGCAGAAATCACATCCTCTCATCACAGTTAAACAAAACCCATGAAAAATGGGAAGGAATACAAATAACTGATGTCATTCAAATCCTGCTTTTCTTGATAAACTTTAATCCAACAAACACCCACTACTAAACAGTGCTCATCTAATTTATGTTCCCTGCTCCAGTGAACAGGTATTTACATTAAGTCTTGACCTTGTGACAGTTGGCATGCATGTGGCGCCAGGAATCTTGATGTCTTCCCAGGCAGCAGGGCATGAGATGCCATTTCTTTGGAGACACAGAGGGTCTTAAAGCTTTGAGCCCTTAGCTAAGGAAAAAGAGGCACAATGCTTTCAGTTGAAACTAATGCTTTTCTGTGTCTTATGCTTTCCTTACAAGGCAGGGGAGGGGGATCTATTCAGTTTCCCAAATAAGAGATACTGTAGGCTCTGCTGCTGTGCATCACAGTGGCGTCTCCGCAGCAGTAAATAATGTATTACATGAGCCATGTCAGGGAAGAAGGATGCACAAAATGGCTTGGGCTCCAAGCCCAATACCTAGGGTGGTGTAAGATGTAAGAAACCTGCTGCCTGCTGGGGATGACCCTGTTACAAATTATTGCTGAACCCACTTGATGGCATTGCCCAGGGAACTACTAATACCCATGGGCCAGAATCATGCTAGGACATGTTAAGATCCTCAGCCTACTCCAAACATGAACAACCTGGTCCTATCAAGCAGCACTTCACTGAGTGGCACTGGTCCAGCTTCAGGCCCCAGCCCAGATGCAGCATGCCAGTGTGTTTCTCATCTGCCATGCAAGAAGCCAAGCGGCTTCAAAACACTGCAAAGCAGCACCTCTTTTCCTGGTCAGTCTCAGATCTGCTCCAGGGAGTGATCCCAAAGTTCTACCAGATCACCTCCCTCTCAAGGTCTCTCCTTCACAGTATTCTTCGTACAAGCTTATTTGTATTTGGAATGGTTGTTCTAGAGTAAAGATACGTTTTTATTGTAAGCATTTCACATGTTTCTTCTGATCCTTTAAAAAGCAGGGTTTAGGAACAAACTCCTTGCACTTTAAATTCCAGGTTGGTCTGAAAATTCAGCCAGAAATTTTACCTTCTGAGTTGTTTATCGGATCAATGAAAGCCTCATATACATTTTACAATTATGACATTCTATCTGGGATGCAGTAAGTGTTCATTTCTCTTTCTTCTCAGTGGAGACTTTTGCATCTCTGGTAACAGCAGATTCATTAGGTCAAAACCTCTTAAATAGTAGATGTTGTAGGTCCAAATTCACAATAGATAGGTGTGATACTCCTTGAAGCATTTCTTTATATTGTACTATTGCCCTGAAGCAGGTATTTAGCCAGGAACTGAGTAAATATGTGCTAGTGTTTCTCAATATATTAGTGGAATTTAAAGCCAGACATGGAATGTGGATTTAGTTAAACAACAGTGAAGCCACCAATGACCATCAAATTTCTGTGATTTCTGAAGCTTATGGTGTCCCCCTCATCACCCCCTGCCCTCCAGTCTTTTTCTGTTCATTATGTTACTACTAATTAAAACTAGAGAATTGAATTTATCCATGACCAGGTTATTACACACTCAGAGACATTACACTGACTTTACACTGCAACTTCTCCTTGACTCATCATTAGAAAGCACACTCAAGCCAAATTTGAGCACGCTTCTTAATCATATTACCGTTTATCTTAAAAAATAAAAAGATGGTGCCATGACCAGTAGAAAATTATTCCCCTGAAGGGATATCACTCTGCATGAGTGGGTTCCTCATCAATGTTTACTTCATCTGCCAAAAATTATCTGAGCATACTACACTTTGTAAGCTTCCAGGAAAATTTGAAATGAGCGAATTATTTCTGCTGCGACTGCTACTTCCAAAGAAAGTGCAGCATGCTCTGCTTAGATCCTTCCCTCACAATTCTCAGTCTTGGATTGTCCCTTGGCAGTGGGAAAACAGCTGTTAAATTTACATGCAACTGAGGCAACCTTGAAAACTGTAAACATATTACTATTATTATTTATTATTAATAAGTTTACTATTATTATTTATTATTACTAAGTTGTCCAGTGTGACACTCTCAAACCCCCAAATGGTATCCCAACAAAGTCTTGTTCTTCTCTGCAGATGATCAGACCTTATTATGGGCTCTAGGAAAACCACAAGTTTCCACACATTGGTGACTCACCACTTCAACTCCTCCTGCATAGGATCTTCCTCCAGAACAGAATCAGAACTATCATGACTACTAAAAGCACCACAATAATCACCAGCCAAAGCAATGATGATCCCTCTTCTGTGAAAACAAAACAACAAAACATCCACAGCAAATTAATCTCATTGTGAAAAAAAGCAAAACAAGCCACGAGGATGTCTGATTAATGACAGTGCTTCCTCTGATATTGTTAAAGGTACTGCTAGGATAAATGAAAGCAGCAATTGCTCAAAAGAGAAAAACCCATGTGTCTTCAAAAACAAAGCTACTTTTCCACAGAAAATCTGAAGAAAAGATGTGCTCATGGCAAAGAATACTGCCATTCCTATACCTGATACAGTGGTTGGCATACACACACAAGTAGAACTTCATACAAGTCTTAACTCTTTCAGAAGAGTTTTTTTTTTGTTTCACCCAGAATTTTATTATTTTTACTTTAAAACACTTTTTACTTTTAAACACTGATGAAAAGGCAACAATAATTTTAAGAAAATAAGACCGGCTATGTTTTGCTGCCTGCAAATAGCTCTACCCAACAGCTGAATGTAAATGTTCCTCCCTGGTTAGACATTACCACTTCATTTGACTGCTATTAATCAAAAGGCTCATCTCAACGTTCACTGACATTGGCTGGAAAATGGTATGACTTGAAATTTATTTGACTTGAGCCAAAACGATTATGTATTTTAACAAATTTATGTTGAACTATTCCTTTGAACTTCTTGTCCTCTAAAATATAAGATTGTTAAAACAAAAAGCTCTTAGCTGATTTTTTATCCACTTAACAAGAAATAAGACATCAGTCTTAGTTTTCTGCTTTCTGAGATATGCATTTGCTTTTTAGAAGACCAAAACAAAAGAATACTGGGGACAGGACAAAAAGATTAGTATGTTTTTTTCAGAATTGTAATGTAATTCAGAATTAAGAACGAAATTGCTTTTGAATGTTTAGAGAGCAGATATTAAAAATCAGATCCTGCTCTTTACTACTATTCCTGTAACAATCACTTCTTGAGCGTGTAATTTCAGAATCAACCCACAGCTACAAGCTGCTTTTCCTGTCTTGCTAATCTACAAGTGGCCTTCAATTTAAGGCTCTATATACAGAGACGTGAATTTTAAATCACTCAAGTCAATGCTCCTGTATTAAGTAAAAATGTTTCTTCAGCTTTTAATGTTTCTATTTCTTATCTGCAGAAACAGGGTCAAAGTCTTTCCAGCAGAACAGAATGTTGGAAAAAGAAATAAATTAACACTATAAGATATTCAGATGTTACATTAATATATCTAAGATTTCTGTATAAACCAAACATAAGTATCTTCAACTGACCCCCTCCCTGTATGCCTGAAAGTACTGTTCTTCTCTGACCATTACTGCAGTGGACATGCGCCTTGGCAAAAAATCAGAGAAACCAAAACATCATGTACAGATTATATACAACAAAACATGCAGTAAGTTGAACTGAACATTTGATTCAGAGACAGTTTGTTATGAATTTCAAAATTTCTGACTTGATCAACAACCCATAGAGTTTCTACTCATCATTCTACTCATGGATATCAGCTGACATATATTTATATTTATTTTTAAGCTGTTAAAAAATTATGAAGGCCTACGTGGAAACCTAAGTTCAATGTGGAAATCTAAGTTCAACTTGCTGTACAATGCATGGTGCCTCTAAACCCTGTATCTCCCCAGCTGATTAGTCTGGTTTTTTCCCTTCTTGGATAGGACTCCAATATGTTACTACCTCAAAGACAAGAGTGGATGCAAATAGGATTTCCTGACATATAAACATCTCATTCCCTCTACTTCCCAGAAGATTCCTATCCAAATATGCTACTGCAAAACATGGAAGCCAAGAGAATGCTAACAAGTTGCCTGTACTTCTCACCTACCTCCTTTTATTTTCACAGGTATTTCAAATGTTTCATTTGTGTTGCTTACTTTGCAGATCAAATCCTGTGCACTGATGCTCTGAATAGTGTAGATTTCCAGTGTACTGGTGATGGACACAATCCCATTTTTGTGCTTGACTGTCTTCTGTGTAGGAGTAGAGTTGAACAGGTTGTTCCAGGTGATGGTGGGCTCTGGGAGGCCATTAGCATTGCAGATGACTATCAGATGATCTTCAGAAATGTTGTGATGGACAGATGCATTGAGACCTTCCAACACACAAATGAGACAAGTCACCACCACAGTGAGCACCTGGTCGTAAGCAGTAGTAGCAGCCTAACCATTACAAATTAGAGCAAAGCTTACTGGATTCATACTGAGCCCAATGGCAAGGAATGCAAGAAGAGAAGAGTTCCTCGGGTAAGATCCCCTCCATGACTCAATATTCCTTCCTCCACATTGAAGTAGTATACCCCAAAGATTTCACTCAGTCTGAAATCCAAGTATTAAAATAATCTGTTAAGTAATATAATTTATGGGTCCTATCTGCTAATTCCCTATCAATGGTAGGGTTTGGAAGAGCAGCTGACAGCACTGGAGTTGTACTGTGCACCAAAAGGAAACTCCAATGGGCAATGTTGGTTTGCCCACGTTGCAGATGGGACTGATCAAGGACTTGGAAAGATTCCACTCCTTGTTTTTCAGCTGCTACTCAAGGAGTAACAAACAAGAGCCAAAATGACCACAATAATCTTGAATATGACCCACAGAATTTTGCTCACGGCAGTAGTGCTCTGTTTCTACATCACGTTCCACCAGGGGATGCTCCCATCACTGCAATTCATGAATCTGCTCAAGGAAATACTGTAGGTGAGAAAACACCTCTTATTTCACTAGAGACATATCCCTGCAGAGAACCTCACCAAAAACACTCAGGCAGGTATTTCCTGAGAGAGGACCAGAAGGGAAAACATTGAAGAGACACTTGTAACATCCTGAATCATCCATTCTAGTGTCCCAAAAAGTTATGCTTGTCTTGTTGAGTTCCAAACTTGTGAAATTCATCCTGTCTTTATAGGGCTTCTGAATCCTTAATCCGTTCGTTTCACTGTATGTAGCTATATTATCATGTAATTCTTCTGAGTCCTTTTGCCATGTCACTTGCAGAACATCCATGGGTTTTGTCAGGGCACAACTCAGAGTCACACTGTCACCCATCCTCACTGTTGTGTATCCAGCCTGCGGAACCACTGCAATGACAGTGAACAGTTAATGAAACGGGCAGATATCACACATTCAGAAGCCTAATGTTGATTCTAAGGCCTGGATTACCCACAGACACAACTCCTTCAGTTACATATTGTTTCTGTGGCTTTCCCCTACAAAAAAGTCCATCTCCTGCATACTCCTAGGAATCAATGAAGTTATGTTGATTTGCATTGGCTGAGACTTTAGCTTTCTTCTAAGCTACTTAAAAGACAAAAAGACGTACCTATTTCTGTACCCGTATCTACAGACTTCCCTCTTAAGTTTTACTAAATCAGCTCATGACTTCCTGTTCTCAGCAAATACTCAATTTTTGTTTCCTAAGAGCTAGAGGAAGATTGAATGCATAAGAGAAGTATGCAACAAGCCATTATCAGAGAAGTAAACAGCATAATGCCTTTAAAAGGCTTTCTGAACTGTAGTTTCAGAGTTCACAGTGCATTTGAGATGGAGGGAAGGAAGTCCTTTTCGGATGCCCCACTCTTGGAAGCTGTCAACTCAGGTTAACGATGGTGTCCAGTGTCACTGTCGATATGGGATGTTTCTTGTCCTTCCCATCTCTAAATGCTGCTCCAGGAGGATTTGTGTCACAACTACCAGCTCCATGTCTCTGTCTCATCTATGTAAGAATGTAAGTCAAGCAGTGCCAGCAATCTGTATTTCACCTAGTTTTGTCTCTTACTCTGCTGAAGCCTCAGAAACCTGAAACCAGTTCCCCAAACAATTTCAAGCAGATTTCAGGAAATTCAACTTACCATTTGCCTTTCCAAGCCCAGAATATGCCAAACACAAAACCAGAGCTTGTAAAGTCATTTTGGAAGAGAAAATCTGCTTCACCTAAAGAAAAACAGAGATGACGGATCATCCTCTGGTGATATTGTACATTCAGGGTGCAATAATTAACAGTAGATTTTTCATGTGAAAAAGAATATAGTTCAAGGGTCAGACAGCAAGACTTGACAAGTTTTATTGCCCTGTTTCCTTCAACTGAATTGTAGACCTGCCTGGAACTGAAGTTGGTGTTATATTCAAGAGGAAACACAATTTTGCAAAAAATACTTCTGTAACACACTCTACCCACTCCTGAGTTTTTTTTTGTCAATGCCTGCAAAACTAGCTGAAGCATCCTGGGACCATCTTCTGTCAAGAATTTAAGCAAAGCCCAACCTCTTAAAGATTTTCACAACATTCAAAAAATAAAAGAGACAGCTGAAAAGCATTTTCTATATTATACAGGTTAAAAAAGAAGGGCTGGTAAATAAATCAATAAATAAGACAAAGAAAAAAGTATTTAAAAACAAATTGCCAAGAACTTGTGTACATACTGCGTACACCCACAACCAGTAGCCTGCATTTAAATTTTAAACACGCTATGCTAAAACAACTCCTGATATGACTCTCCAGTTACCAAGAACAAATAGAGACCAAGATGTTACATGTAGAATCAGGAAACAAGAACATATCAGCAACGAGCCCAATGAAAAAAGTTTGTGTAATCAGATATTTGAGCACGGCTATAAGAAATTCAAATATTCCGCTAAGCATGCAGAAATCAAGGGCCAGCATAGCAAGCAGAAACTAGCGAGTCACAGAGCTTCTTTACAAAGAAGATGTACGGGAAGATGTACCACGCCTGCAGGCAAGCAGAGTTTTCAATAACAATCCTTTGCTTCACTGCTTTAGTACCCATTAAAGCCCTTAATGCACCACTGCACACACCTGGGGTAGCAACAAGAATTCACACAGTGAGGAACGAGGCTATACCGTGTAGCTATACCACGCACAGAAAGAAGTCCCTTTAGGTCACAACTCCAGTCACGGGTGCTGCAGAGAGTGAGAAAACACAAACCAAAACGAAAGGAAAAAGAAGAAAAAGGGAAAAGAAAAAAAAAAAGAAGAAGAAAAAAAAGCGCTAAAGATTGGGGCAAGTAAAGCGCAAATCCTTTACTGCGTCTTCCAAAACCGCACCTCGGAGGGCTCCTGAGCCACGGTCTGTGCCGCTCCCTGGACAAACCGCCCTCCACTACTGTCTGGGAGTCTCCCTTAACTTCAAAGTAACTTGCCCCCTGTTAGCGTCACAGAGGTTTTCGAAGGCAGCTGCCGACTGAGCCCAGCAGCTGGAGGGCCCTCCCGGGTAGGAAGGGAGGACGGAGGAAGGAGACGCGGCACTCGGGCGGTGCCTCCGGCCTTTCGTCCCCACGCGGGGTCCCCCTCCCGCCGGCGCTGTCAGGCTGACGCGCACCCGGCACTCACTGCTCATCTCCGCCCGAAACCCTCCTCGGACGTAGGAATGCGTCCGGGGATGGCAGCGACAGGCATGGCTGCTCACAGCCAAGTACGTGGAAACACGGAGAAAGATAACATAAATCCCGTGGAGGCGGAAGCTCCCAGGCCGCATCGCGGTCCTTGTTCCAGAGCTGAGCTGGTGTCCCATCCAGCGCTAACCTTTCCCTCAAGGGTATTCATAACAGCCCAGTAACAAATTATTTTAGGCTATATCGCATATATAACTGGGAGTGGTCTTTTGCTTTCGCTGCTACCTTCCTGTTGGGTGGGGAGGAAAAGGCGCAGCAGGAGTGATAGTGGACAATCTCTGTGCTATTTTTGTGTTGTTAGATTAGGATCTTCTGCTGATAAAACTACAACAGGGATAACTTATCAGACCTCGTTGCAGGCTTGGCAGAAACAACGCATTTCTCAATCCGATAAATTAGAAACAGCATTCTTAGTGATCAATACAGGACATTCAGTGCCTGCTCTTTCTTCAAATGCTTTCATACACATGCACACGTTCATACACTGTTCACACCACTTGCAAAATTTATCTTGCCAGACTATTTTAAGCCATCATTGCTCACAGGAAAAATCAAACACCACAATTTCAGCCTCTTACCAAAGTTAATGGACAAAGATGCCTACATAAACCTAGAAACTCATTCTTGTTTAAGACAGAGATCTGTGTGAATATTACGAGCAATGCTACTAAACTGTCTTAAGGAAGAAGGTGATGTTTGCAGCTTTCCTGGGTCACCCTGGGCTCACCATGTATTAACCTCACCTGTCCTGCTGCTCTCAGTACCTTGGTGCACAAAGGAGTGCCTTCTGACCCGTAGAAATAGAAAGCTTCTGCTGTCCCCAACAGATTTGGCCCAACTTTTGGCTGGGGTCTGGAGATCAGGGCAGTGTTTCTTCCAGATGTGTAGAGCTGTACTTGGTGACACCTTCCCCACAACTGTGCTGGATTTAGTGCAGCCTTTTCCCTCTGCCAACTAACTGACCAAAGCCCCTTGGCTTTTCAACAAAATTTCAACTTTACCACTACCTTTATTTCTACCTTTCTTTCTACCTCCAAGGATAAATCACTATGTCTTAAATCACTTAAATTTCACTCCGCCAGCCTTGCCCTTTTTGGTCCCTCTAAAACAGGCCAGCAACTAAACCAGTTGTTTGAGACTGATGTATCTACACACTTCACACTCTTTTTGTTTTAATGAGAAAAATGCATTAGCAAGTTTCCTGTGCTCACGTGCCTTCACTATAGCTGAGGGGATTTTAGAGGGAAGTCCAGTTAACTGCACATTGCACAGCTTAAAATGAATTTGTCCAGAAGTGCCCTGTTCCATCAAAGCAACAAAAGGAGGGAAATCCCAGTGATATCTTCCTGCTCTTATTTAATGAAAATAAAGTGGACTTTGGGGGAATTTGAATGATATATTATAGTAACTCACATCTATTGAGGTGGAAAATGTCTGTGTTTAGGCAAATGTTATTACTCATTCAGTGGGCTGGAGAAACGTAGAGAAGAAAGAAAAAAATGATGAAAGGGTCCAGAAAACAAGGGGGATGCTCCTTTGGAAGAGAGGGAATAAATTAAAGTTGAGCAAGGAAAGGATGATCCTGAAATCGTAGGCAAAGACCAGAGGTAACCTCAGGGCAGACAGAAGGAAATGAAAAATACTCCAGATAAACCAGCAATAGTGGAAGATTCAAATTATATTTAGAGAAGAACAAGGCACAAAAATCCCCTTCTGCCTTATTCTGTGTTCTAATGTCAACTGTTTCTTTTTACAGGAACCTGACTCAGCTCAGCAATCTTTACCAAGCTTTACAAGGTTTTTGTACGTTACGTACAAAGAACCTGTACCTGGAGCTGGTGGTAGCCAAGGTGACATGGACTCTCTGCTATTATAAATCCTTTGAAGTTAGTGAGAAAGACAGTAAGTAGAGAGCTCTTGCCCAAAAATTCAAAGAGGTCTTTGTTCATTTTTTGTTACTTATTTAGCTGTAATACACCCTGTATGCTGGTGGAAGAGGCAATTTAAAATTCCTTCTGTCACGAATGAGATTTATTCTTCATTCTTTCCTCTGCCTTCTGGGTGGACACATTACACAATTAATATATTTCGTCATTCTTCCCTTGACTTCTGGACTACTGACCTCTTATAAGCAGAGCCATTTGAACCACTAGCCAGCGAAACCTGTACAGACTTACGGCAAATATATGATACAGCAGATCCAAGTTGTCATTATTTAACAGGGAAAAGGAAAATAAATGGGTGAATGAAGTCAGTGACATTGATTCCAGTAAAACCAAACACAGTAGGTTTTACAGGATGTACTGTCTTGTGGAAGTGTATATCAGAACATTTGGACTGCTGATGTTCTGATATACTCCCTTCTGGCTCTGCTCACATCAATTAACATATCCCCCTTAATCATCATGCTCAGGCAGTGCATCTTCAAGTTGCAAATGCTCATATGGGTCTAATAGGAGCCTAACCTGGTTCAGAGGATCTGCCACCAGCTGTCATTTTACTGGTGATTCAACCACATGATCATAATCAAACCACATTTCTCTCTCTCAAGCTTACTTCTATTAAACAAGGGAAGTGTAAATTGTTTAAAGTTTGAGGTCCTGCCAATTTCTCCAGTGCAAACTGCACAAGATTTCTCAGTAGGGACAGTTAGCCTTGTGGGTGGGGATAAGAGCACAAAAAATTTCTGGAGTCCATTTCAGTGTCAATTTATCCATGTATAAAGGGAGACTGGATTGAGGAATAGGAGCACAAAGGGGAGACAAAGGCATGGAGTGGGTGTGGAATTGGAAGAAGAAGAAAGTGACCATGGTAGTGAAAGTTTTAGTCCATAACAGGGCAGACAAGGGTGGTAGGGGGGTACACAGGTAGTACAATTCCTGCTGCAGCAGGTGGTAGGAGTTGAGGAATGCATAATTGTTAAGGTTTTGTATGTAGATTTGTTTTACGTGCGCGCACGCACGCACACACACACACAGTGTTATTATACCTGTTATTAAGGGGTCCTTAAGTGATTTTAGCTTTAGAGAAAAAGCAAGAAAAGAGCCTAGGCTTGTAGTATTGGGAAATGCTTTTTCCAATACAATGTGTTTTTTATATGGCTGCTGCTGTATAAAGTATGGTTGCGGAAGAGAAGGGCCATGAGGACCCATGACAGGCCACAAGGGGACAAGAGGGGCTAAGTGAATAGATAAGGTTGCAGCTGGGGACTTTCCTCCAGCTGCAGGCAGAAGAGGCATAAATGATCAAGTTAATGTAATGATAAATGATGGAGGGGTAGACAAAAGGATTTTGGGTTTGGAAACTCGTGAAGGGTTTAGTCCTATAGCACAAACTTGTAGGGAAGACCCAGAGAAAGTTGTGAAGCTATGTGGTGATTGGATATGTTATTCCTAGGGATCTGAGTAAGTTGTTAGAAGCAGCATGGAACATGTACAATAATTAGGAGCGAAAGCTGTGTTAGCAGAACAAAGCCCAATTGCGGGGTGGGGAAATGGTGGCACCATGGGAGAGAAGCAGAGAAGGAATTACAGGCATAGTTGTACAGAGGTCTGTGTGCTATTTTAAGAGAAGGGCCATGGGAAAATCTGTGGGGAAAGGGACAAACACAAGCTGGTGGACCCTGGACTTCATCCAAATCTCCTGATCAGCCTGGAAGGCTCCCACTGGTAGAAGATGTGTGATGGTGACTGGAGATGTCATCCCCAGCTAAACCTGTGGGGATTAAATTAACACTGGGAATGACAAATAGAATTTCTTAGTAGACACTGCAGTGGTGTATTCAGTCTTAAATATGCCTAAAGGAAAATTTAGTCAGAACAATTCATGTTGGTGTGACAGAGCAGAAGGAAAATTGGCCTTTCTTTGAGCATTAAAATTTGGAATTGATAAATTGATGTTAGCCTATCAATTTCCCTATATACCTGAATGTCCCATACCAATACTAGAAAGAGACGCGTTGACTAGATTAAATGCACAAATTATGCTTGAAAAAGAAAAAAAATCAAGTTTCTGGCTGCAGGCTCCTCTGTTAGTATGAGCTGGTTGGGTTTGTCCTGAGGCTGAGGGATTGGTGCAGCACTGCAGAGGCCTATGCCAGCTCAGGTGAATTGTCCCGTGGAAAGGTTTCACCTTGTAACTAGCAGGGTACTTGCAGTTTAGGAGATTCACTGTTCCACATGGGCAAAGGAGTCAACACCAGGAAAGAAAGGAGGCTATCTGTTAAAATGCTGAGCCCCTTTCTAAAAAAGAACTGAGTCTGAATGCAGCAAAGCCTTTCAGTAAATGAAGCATGCTCTATTGGCTGCTCCTGCACTGGGATTACTGGACTTGGTAAACCTTTTGAACTATTTATGCAGGAAAAATTCCATTTGGCATTGGGAGTATTGACATAACAACTGGAATCCTAGAAGAACAAAGGATGGTCACCCTGCCTCACGACAGTAGCGGCAGCTGTC